CATATACTATACCAAAACCAATTACTGGCATGGCAAATAGTTGTCTTAAGGTATATACACACTCGATTTCAAACAGTTGTGCAATTATGCTCTCTAAAATGCCTGCAAGTTTTTCTGGCACATTATACTTTATCAGGCAGAATATAAGAGCCTTTTTTCACATTCATATAAAGTGATATCTTGTAGTTGTTATATATACACACCCCACCTCCCCCACAGACAATTCATACACATATTTTCTAACAGATGCACAAAACTACTGAAATTTAAAACACATCATACATACCATTATGTGATAAGAACAGTCTCGTGAGTTGGTGGTATTAAAGTTAGTACAGCCTATGTGAAACCAATTGGGAAATACCTTTCAGAATTCCATTGTTATATATCCTTTGACCCAGATGTTCTTTTTAATTTTATTTAATTTATTGGGGTGGCATTGCTTAAAATAAGTTATATAGGTTTCAAGTGTACAATCCTATACCACATCATCTGTATATTGCATTGTGTGTCCACTACCCCAAGTCAAGCCTCCTTCCATCACCATTCATTTGAAACCCATTACCCTTTAGTAGCCCCTCACCTCCCTTTTCCTCTCATAACCACCATACTGTTGTCTATGTCTATGAGTTTTTGTTTATCTTGTTCATTTGTTTGTTGCTTTCAGTTTTGTATTCCACATATGAGTGAAATCATATGGTTCTTGACATTTTCTGTCTGACTTGTTTCTCTTAGCATGATATTCCCATGACTCATTCACGTTGTCCAAGGGGCATTATTTCATCTTTTCTTATTACTATTATTCCATAGTACAGTCATACCTCAGTACTCATTAGCTTCAGAACTTGTCAAACCCTGTACTCATCGCATTTTGACAAGAAAAAATGTTTCAACACTCTGTGCTTGCTTGCCACTCAGTGCCCCTCTCTCACGATGAAACAGAGGCCAATGCATCAGTCTCACAGCAGATCAAGAAGAGTTCAGGACCTGTTGGTTTCAGCACTCATCATGAGTTCCAGAATAAATTGACAATGAGTACCAAGGTACCTCGGTATATATGAACCACCGTATTTATGTACCGCATCTTCTTCATGCAGTCATATAGCAAAGGACACTTTGGTTCTTTACATTTTGGGTCACCATGAATAATGCTGCAATGAACATTAGGCTACAATGTATATCTTTACAAATAAATATTTTCAAAATTTTGGGGTAGATACCAATAACAGGGATTGCTGGGTCATGCGGTAACTTTATTCTTATTTTTTTAAGGAACCTCTATACTGTTTTCCAAAGTGACTATATCAATTTACATTCCCACTAACAGTGTCTGAGGGTTCTTTTTCTTCACAATCTTTCCAATACTTATGGATATTGGTCTTAAAGAAGACTCTATAAATTTGACTTCAAATACAATGGAAGTAAATGCAAAATTAATCGAATGGGACTATGTGAAACTAAAAACTTGTAAAGCAAAAGAAATTGTCAACAAATTGAAAACACAACTGACCAAATGGGAGATGTTTGCAAACAATGCCTCTAATAAGGGGTTAAAATCCAAAATATATAAAAACTCATACAACTCAACATCAAAAATATTATCCAGTAAAAGAACCTGCAGAGGCCCTGAACAGGCACTTATCTCTAAAAGACATATAAATGGCCAAAAGATATATTAAAAGATACTCAACTACACAAGCTACTAGGGAAATGAGAATCAAAACTATAATGAGATACCACCTAACACATGTTAGAATGACTATTATTAACAGACAGACATTCTAATCGAAGCAATACATTCTCCAGATACTGTTAGTGCCAGGATATTGATTTAAAAATATTTGTTCAGAACCTACCATTGATTAGGTAGGCAATATCCAAGCTATTGGGAATATATCAGAAATGAAGATGAAAAATAGTTGCCCCATTATGGTACAGCATTATTATGTGACAGTAAAGCATTGAATGGTGTCAAAGATGGAAGCCACCGCTCATATATATACATATTATACATAAAGTTGCTTTATAAGTAAAGGAGAACTTCTATGAGAAGTTCTTTCTAAAATATTTACAGAAATCATTTTAAAAGATTTATAGAATTTTGTTATGAAGTGATAAAATAATTTAACTAGCAAGTTCCTTATTGAGAATTTTTTAAAGTATTATCTGGAAAGATTTATTGTTCTGTGGACATCTCCACAAGCAGTCATGACAGAAAGTTTCTAAACACAATGTGAGAAAAATGTACAAGCACCAATATAGAAAGATCTCTAAGAAAATTGTTAAATTAATATTAGATGAAACAATATCTGTATTTGCAGTATAATGCATAATGGGTTTCTAGAACAAGACAGAAGACATTAACAATTATTGTCTAGAAGCAAAGGCAGGAGAACTGGGTAGCTGTGGGACTGGAGAGAGAAGAATACTTTTCATTATAAATATCTCTTTGCAACTTCATGATATTTGAAAATTTATATCTATTACTTAACTAAATTTAAGATTTAAGAATATAGTATATATTGTGTGTTTACCATTGTAAAAAGCATGCATTTATTTTACTATTACTGTTATTGAAAATCTCAACTTAAACTTATTAGCCATTATTTTTTTCTGATTCATAGGAGGTACTTTATTAGCATTATTTCTATTATGGTTAGGTCATTGAAATATTTTCACCAATTTTCTATTTATTTGTGATGTTCTTTGCCCAATAGGAAACTTTACTTTTAATAAAATACCAAAAATTTTTTGTTAAAATTTTATAATTTTTTAAATTTCATTTAAGGATTTTTTTACAAGCCCCAACACCATGAAAGCAATCATTTTTTAAGAACCTTATATTATATTTAATTCATTTGAAATTTACTATCATATATGATTTTTGAAAGGGTTAAGAGTTCATTTTCCTAACACATTTTACTAAACAACTGATTGTGTGATGTTTGCACTCAGTCCCATGTGAGCCCCAGGATGGTGGTTAATGCAGGTTAATCTATCACCATCAAGCCCCAGGATCATCAATGCTTCCTACTGGTTTTTTCCCAACCTCCTGTAGTTTTCTCATAGACATGTTCTTATAAAAATTCAGTTGAAGACTCCAGGGACCTTCTGCAGATACTGAGCACTCTCACTGGGCAGCTTTCTCTCCTCCATGGCTGTGTACTGAAAACTCTAGCCAGCTGGGCACCTCAGACTCCCAGCTTGGGCTCCTCAGTTCAGGGTTCCAAGAGGTCCTCCTGTGTTCCCCTCTCAGTTCTGTGGTCTGGAAGCTCTCTCCAGGCAGAGTGGGCTCACTATGTTTTTTTCCTGGTCCTGCACTGCCTGATGGCCAAGTCCTGGAAACCCTTGTTTCATGTCTTTTACTTATTTTTCTCAGTTGTTTTATGCAGAAGAATAAGTCCAGTCCCTGCTATTCCATGTTGGTTGGGAGCAGAAGTATCCTATAATATTTCTTAATATGTGATAAGGGAATTGCCCCTTATTCCTATTTTTTAAATATAATCTTAGTTTTTGCTGTATGTTTAAGATTTTTTTTATTGTCCTTCAAAAACACCACTGGAATTTTGAACAAAAGTACATTAAATTGAGAGATTAAATGTCGTGGCGGGGGGGAACTTATCTTTTCACAAGTTTAGGTAGTGACATCCATGCATAGAGTAAGAGTATTTATTTATTTAGGTCTTCTTTTAAGCCTTTTATTTGAAGTGTACATTATTTTATCTTCTTAAAGTGATTATTCTTTATTAATTCAATTCTTAGATACTTTAGTGTATTTTTGGTAATGTTATAAATGGTCTCATTTTCTGTTGCATTTTATGGTCGGTTATTGGTATAGAGGGACACTCATAATTGCATATATTTAATTGAATGTGTAGCCAAAAATGTTGTTTATGTTTTCTAATTAGTTTCAAAACTTTTCCTGCTGATACTCTTTGATATCCTATATACATCTGTGATCTGTAGCTGATTATACTTCTGATTCTTTCCAATCTTTAAATTTCTTATTTCTTTTATATTTTTTACTGAATTGTGCACTATCCAGTGCACACGAACAATATTAGGGATAGATGGAATATGTGTTATGTCTCCAACCTAATAGGAAATTATCCTATATTTTTACATCTAAGTACATGTTTTTTTATTTTTGTTGTTAATAGGTGGCCATTAGCAAGTAAAAGAAGTTCCCTACTCAATTTTCCTAGAGATTTTTAAAAATTTAATCAGACAGAAATATGGAATATTACTAGTTTTTCTTTAAATCTATTGAGATGATCATTGTTTAATGCAGTGAATTTAATCAATAAATTTTCTGACATTGAACTACTCTTACTGTGCATTATATGTGGACATGCTTCTATATTTTTTTATTTGTTTTTGTAATGTTTATTTCAAGAAACAAAAAATATTTTTCCTCATTTTTATTTTCAACAAAAGGAGAGGAAAGCTGTCATGGTAGCATGGGTATAAACTTGTGTCACTCAGATTTTAGGTTCAATTCCAAACAGTAACCACATACTTGAATGTGTGGTTTAAGATCTTTAATTATTAGTGTATTGATTAAAAATCAAGATAGGGATAAAAGTCAGGAATAAAATTTTGTGATGCGGTGTCTTGTTTCCTTTGAGAAGCTGAATAAGATATTCAATTAGGGTTTCTTCTGTAGTCTCTCCATCTTTCTTTCTTAGTGAATTCATCCCAACATCCTCACCTCTGCCCTCAAAAACTCATCTGCTATGTATGATTTCTGGTTTTTTCATGCTTCCAGGTTTTTGCATATACCATACCTTCTGTGTAGCAGAGCCTTCTTGTTTTAGTTAGAATTATTTTATTAACAATGACTAGTTCTGCTTCTTACTAGATTGGGAAAATTGAAATTTATTAGAAAATTATTGAATAGCTCACAGCAGAGATGGAGAGAAACCAGAGTAATGTTGCAAATTTGGGAAACAGAAAACTCTTTATTGTCTAATCCAGGCACCAGATACAAGTCTCCTCCAGTGCTTACTTCAGTAGTACAGACACTAACATTGAAATAACATAGAGAAGATTAACATGAACCCTGTGCAGGTGCCACATGCAAATTCATGAAGTGTTCCCAGTTTAAGAGAGAGAGAGAGAGAGAAGAAGGGAGAGAGGGAGGGAGGGAGGGAAGGAGGGAAGGGAAAGAAAAAAAAACAAGGAAAGGAAAATAAAATGGAAATAAGGGAAAGGGAAAGAAGAGGAGGGGAGGAAGAATCTAGAAAACAAATGACAACTCAGCATGATGGAGAATGCTCTCAGTAATAAACACCCAAAGAACTACGCTGCCCTGAAAGTGAGGAATTCCTAATCATGGACAGTCCTTGGTTCCAGCCAGATGACCATATGACCCATAGGCTATAGAAAGAATTGAAGCTCTGCAAAGGAGATTGAACTAGATGACTTTTAAGGTCCCTTTCAATCACAGGAGTCTATGATGCCCTAAGACAATATCTTAAATAATGAGGACTTGGGGTGGGGGTGGGGGGCGGGGACAAGAGAGATTGGCAATAGAACTAGATACAAGGAAACAATTCATCCTATATGTAGTGAACAGCTGTGATTAAAGCACATACACAAATATTCCTGTGATTTTATTTTTGGCCTTCCCTTATTTGGTAAACATCCATGAGAAACAACCATGCTTCCTTCCAATGGTCTCAAGAGTAGTTTCTGTTAGCCAATACACTAAAGACATTAGGATGCTTCTGGAATAAGACAACCTTGAGATTTTTAGGTGTGTATTAAAAGCCTTAAAAATTAAGAGAATATGAGTGTCTAACTCAAATCCTCTCAGCCTCTCTGAGATCTTAGTTTTCAACATAATAAAGCCTTTGATATTTGGGTTTGTTTTGCCATTGGCAAAACAGTACTTCTATTGCTAGGAACTTTAGATGACCTTTTTAAAAATGAGTACATTTTAAAAACTAATATTTTTTGTATTTAATATAAAGAAGTTAAGACTGCAGTTTTTTTTTCCTTTTGAAGTAGATATGAATAAAATACTTGTTGGTTTAAGTATATAAAATAACATTTCAGGTGCTTTAAATGCAAAACTTTAAAACTCAAGAACTGAAGTCTTTTTTCAAATGCCAATTTGCCTAGAATTATCACCCTTTTTTTGCTCTAATATACAGAAACCTCATCGTATATCACAGAAGTGAGGTATACTCAAGTATTAAAACAAGCTGTTCACCCATTGTAAAAAAAAAAAGAGAGAGAGAGAATCACTACAAAATGATTGTGTGCAATTGAAAACATTGAGAACAAAATCCCACAAGATATCAAGATTCACATTATACCTTTAACCATTTATGTTTGTTAGATAACACACCCTCACTAACATTTGAGAACACTTAGAATTTAATTTGTATTCTAAGCACAAGTATTTCATTGTTTCTACATTTCCAATAGATAAGTAAACAGTCAAAATTGATATATAGATGTGCAAGTGTGGCTTAGAGCAGGGGTGGGTGTGGAATGTCTGATTAGAAGGGACACAGCACCTGCAAGGTAGCACTTTGTGTTGGCATTGTATGCTTCTTGGATGTGCCTTGAGAGGGCGTGACAGCACCCTGTCAAAAGCTAAAACCATGGTTCCCATCCCCAAATCCTTTCTTGGTTAGCTTGGTCAGTAAGATTAATTTCCCTAAGTACTAGCCATGTTAGTGTGTATATGTTTGTGCGTGTGTTTGTATGTGTACGTGCATGTGTGAAGAGACATAATTATATCTGGATAGTATTTTATAATAGCATGTTTATTTTCTTATCAAATCTTGACACTTGAGAAATAAGGACGACCTAATTTAAAGATTAATATAAAGAGATTTGCTGTGGCTACATGACCTCTCCAAAGTGATTCATCTATTTCTTATCACAGAACTGAAAACCATTCCTCTTTCACAAACTTGTCACTGAGCCTCAGTTTATTCATGACTATACTATCTCACAGAGATTCTGAAGGATTAAATGCGAGCCTATATAAATGCATGGCACTTTCTAAATTCTCAAAAAAAGTGGCTATTAAAAAATTATTTTTGCCCTGGCTGGTGTGGCTCAGTTGGTTAGAGCACCATCCCAGAAACCAATAGGTCGTGAATTCAATTACTGGTTCATTACGGGTTGGAGTATGTATAAGAGGCAGCCGACTGATGTTTCTATCATCAACGTTTCTCTCCCTCTTCCTCTCTTCCTTCCCTCCCCTCTATCTAAGATCAATGGGTATTTCCTAGGATGAAGATTAAAAATAATTATTTTTTCCTAGGCTCTCTCCAATATACCAGATTATATTTTCTAGCTCAAATAAGTTTTTATCTGCTATTGCATTTTTTGGATCCATGTAGACAGTCACCTGGAATGTATTATACCTACTTTGCATTTGACACCTGGGTAACAACATCAGTTCTTTTTTAGGGACTATGTTGCCCTGCCACAGCCGCCATTGCCATTGTACAGGCCAGCCATTCATCTACAGAGAGAAAATCCACCCCTCCCCCGCCCATGCATTCTGCAAATAGCAAACAAAGAACTGGGAGTAAGAGTCAGCAAAAGAGAGACAGCCACTGCCCCTTCATCATTTTTCTCTGACAAACTAGGTTTGTCTGCTGAGAAACTGTGGCTAGTTCCTGTTAGCAGTTAGTAAAGGCCCAAGATGGAGGCTGGGGATGTGAGTTGAATATCTATTACAGGTTTTGATGTTGAGTAATGGCTGGTATTCTGCCTACTGCTAATTCTAATTCTTTCTAGAGTGATCAAATATGCTGGTTTTCTGGTTCTAAGACATTTACTCGGATGAGGCACTCTCAGTGCTAAAAACAGAAAATTCCCAGGCAAACCTGGATGACTGGTCACCCTTTGTCCAGCCCAGTTTGTTAAAATCCATCACTTGATGCCTCAGGTACCACTGGGAAGTTTTTCACCTGCTTTCATTGGGCAGCCTCAGCTCAATCTTCTAGAAGCCCAAAACAGGACTTGTCTGCATAAGGTGATTGGTTTCCCAAGTTACATTCTTCTCATTCATACTCTCACATAATTTTCGGGGAGCAAAAGAGTTAATAAATAAATATTTATGATTTTGTTTAAATTATTCTCCCATATTTTTTCTTAAACTTTGGCACCTGCTACCACTTGTCTGCTAGCAGAAAACAAAAGGAATCAGAAAGAGCAAACAAATGTTAATGAGAAAACTCAGAAACAGCTGAGATGCTCAGTTTTCATCAGCTTTCTTTTTCCATAAACATGTGGACACATAGTTTTGATTTTTCTCCTGCATATTTATAACATGCTTATTTTTTTATAGTAAAGCTACTTCCATTTCTTACAGTTGACTAGAAGAGCAAAGGCTAAAAATATTGATAATAAATACTAAGGTTTCTTGAATACCTACTATGTGGTAGGCAGTAGACAGAGCATTTTAATTATATTAATTTGTTTGTACATCAACTTTATGAATTAGGTATTATATCTACTTTACATTTGAGCAAACAGAGGCACAGAGAGGTTAAGTATTTTAATTAAACAGTTAAACAGGTAAGGACAGGGAGCTATGCTTTTCTGTCCAAGTGGTCTCAGTGGTCTACCTGCAGAATCCAGGTTGCAGACACTTCCTAGGTGATCACTTTAGCATCATCATCTTCAAGGCCTTGGCTATCTGAACAACCATGAGAACCCTGGCCTGGTACAAATGTGTGTGTCTAATCCTTCAATATCTTCAGCCTTTGAAAACTGTGAGCATTTTCCCCCATGTGCCTAGAAACTCTTTGAAGAGACAAAATGTGAAAGAGACAAAGGGTCTATTTCCCCCCTGCCACACACATATTTTTTGGAAAAATGAAAGCCCTACAGAAACTTCAAACACACAATGAGAGTCAGATTATAAAATATGCCTCTTCTAAGACATTACTATACCCCTGCTGAAGGGTACAGTGGAGAGGGCATATAGTCATCAGCATCAGATAGCCCTAGGGTTAACTCTTCAATGATGACTATGTACTGATCTCAACCTGGGAAGTTGTTTTTCCTTCCCAAGTGTCAGTTTCCTCATTTGTAAAATGAAGGGCACAGTAGGTACCACCCATCTCTCCTGATTTTGAGGCTTTTGTTTTCATCTCTTGATTTTGCATGCTAATTAGTTCCTACGTTAACCATAATCCAGGTAGCTGCAGAGCACCTTTACTTCTGAACAGAGTTCTACCCTGAGTCCTCATCTGTGTTCTTTATCCTGGCCAGAAAAAGGAAGGGGAAGTAACACTGAGTGAGGACCTGACACTGTATGTCAGATGCTAAAGAACTTTTTTATTTCATAAAGTCCTTAGATCATGATATACATTTGTTTCACTTAACAGAAGTTCAACTGCAGTGGTTTAACCAAGGGGTAGTTTTAATTTTCTCCTGCAGCAAGAAGCATTTGTGTTGTGATGTGACTGCTCAGTCTCCATCCGGGCCTCTGTGCTCCAGTGAGAAAGAATGTCGAAGAGCAAAGGGTGAATGCCAGCTGGGTCTGTCTGAACTGGAAAAGTTTTCTCCAAAGCCAAAGGAGTGATTTTCACTTATATCTCATCGTCAAGAATTGTGTCACAAACAGTAAAGCGGCCTGGGGGATTTGATTGTTTAGGCTGGGCATATGGACACCCTGAGCTTAATTAGGTGTTTGTTAGCAATAAAAAAAAAGATGAAAGTGGATATTGAGGAAGCTCCCAGCAATGTCTAGAGCATCATGCACCAAATTCAGTGAGTGGGAGAGAGATTAAGAAGCAAAGCCCAGGCAACACGGTCACCACTTTCCTCAGTCTATCTCTTTCCACTCGGTTACATCTTTCTTAAGCGGCATTGCCCCTACCAAAGATTCTCCTTCCTGAAGCGGTTGAAAGAGAGAAGCATCTTTTATTATTCTTGCCTTCTTTGTGTGTACCTCTAAGGTTCAGGCACCATTCCAGGTAGTTGTTTTCCCTGCTGAGGAGTCTATGCTTAGAAAAGCGAAGCAGTCCTCCCATGGCCCCATAACTGAGAAGTGGAAGAACTGGGGCTCAATGGTAGGTGGGTCAAGTCCCTTCTCACTCCATTACATAGTGTAACCAACCAAGAGTG